GCTTCGGTGCAATGGAGCGGCGATTGTGGTCTGAGGCGACGGTGGGAAAGTGGGTTGCTGATTCTCGTTCTTGAATGAATTCAGCAATCCGAGTGCATGCGCATTCAGATTTGGTGCGGGCAAATTGGACGCCGATGGTATCGCTGGTCTTCCGTTTCCGCCTGCGAACTGTGAATCCCCCATCTCCTGGAATTGGGGCCGCAGATTGTGCTGATCAAACGCTTGCTGCATGTTTGGAGGCTGAGGTGGAAACATGGACTGCTGCTGCTGCTGCGGCTGCGGCTGTTGGTGCATGAAATGAGGCGACATATGTGGCGGTGGTGGCTGCATTCCGTTCATGTGACCTGGATGCCCTCGGAAAGGCATACCTTGGTGTGGTGAGAAGAAAGGAGGCGGAGGCCCCATGTTGCCCATCTGCGGTGGTCGTGGTCCATGCTGGCCATGGGGACTTGACGGCTGCATGGGCGGGGGCATCATCTGTTCAAAGGGCGTCCGAGGTTGTTGGTTTCCTGCATGCTGGTCGTTGCCCTGCTTGAATAGAGCCAGGAGCGGGTTTCCTTGGGGTGGTGGTTGGCTGGGGGCCTCCACCGGCGGTGACTGCATGCCCACACTAAGGAGACGCTTGAGTGCCTCCGCTGGGTCTTGACTCTGTTGTGGTGCCTGATGCTCGTTTGATAACTCTGGTAACGAGTCGCTCGGGCGGTGTCCGCGACCTAACCGGGCCACCATCTCCGCAAAGTTGTCGGCCACCTGGGCATCGGCGACGGGCGCTGCCTGATTGACCGTAGCCTCGTAGAGCGTGTTCTGAATGTCTTCGTCATCAGTTACTGCCACAGGTGCCGGAGCAACGTGCGCGCTGTTCCGTTGCCTCTGCCTCCCAAGCCTGTGCTGTTGCTTTATCCATTGCCTCAGAGGCCCCAAGAACGGCGCGACCATGTAGAAGTTGCTCTCCTTGATCAGGTCATTCCCGTTTCCCTGTTGTTGCTGCACCTGGTTTTTCCGCCTCAGAGTAGGCAGATCGGTGAGCTTGTACCAGTCGATCTTGGAGATTTCCTTCCTGGTCCGTGGCTCGAAGTATGTGTCCATGGGCACGCCGCGGAAGACGTACAGCATCATACTCTGTTCGCGCATCGTGACGGTAATCTTCTTCATGTGCTCGTCGGGCTCGACCAAATCAGCCTCGCGCAGATCGTAGCCGGTCTCTTCCCAGACTTCGCGCACGGCGCAGTCGAGATCCGTCTCTTCCTTGTTGATCTTTCCGCGCGGGAAACTCCATTTGGCGCCCTTCTTCCATCCCTTGACCAGCACGGCGTGGGTCATGTCCTCGTTGAGCATGATGGCGCCGCGCACCGGGACGCGGGTCTTGTAGGCGAGGAACTGCTCGTAGGCCTGCTGGTGCAGCTCCTCCGAGTAGGCGGAGAAGAGCGGGCAGTGCTGGAACATGAGCTGGGAGAACTTGCGCAGGTGCATCGAGGGCAGGTTGTTGGGGTCGAGCGGACGGATGAAGTCTTCGTAGAACCACTGGGCTTCCTCGATCTGGAAGCATATTCGCTCCACCGACTGGAGTTCTTCATTGGGCAGGTTGACGATGAAGCGCACGCAGAGGTCGTCCAGCCAGTCAACTAGTGATCTGTTTGTGTTTGTCATGGTGGGTGTGTGTCTGGCCCGTGTCGAGCATGCCGCGTTGAGCTTGCGTCGCAGAGAGTGGTGGGGAGCGCTCGGGCGCCAGTCAGCCAGCTATCGCGCGTCGCGGGCGGCGGGCAGTAGCGAGAGGGTCTAGATGAGGGAGAGGTTGTTTGCTGCGAGGCTGCACAGCCGCAAAGAATGGCGAAGAATGTGGGGGGAGCGGGTGGACGTGTTGTTGATGTGTTGTCAAAGGCCTATCGGAGAGTTGGGCTGTGGCTGTCGGCAGGAGCGATCGACACAGGTGTGGCGGCTGTGGCTGTGCGCGCAGGCGAAAGAAGGAGCGGCCGACCCAGGCCATGACGTTCCTGTCTGGGATCGCGTCACAGAATCAGGGCACCTGGACCTGGGCAGCTACAGCGACTCACCGCCAGCGCACCTCGATGCGATAAGTAGGCCCGTCGTCTTCGCCCTGCCGCTCCTTCTTGTTCTTCACAGCTCAATCATACTCTGTTCGTTGCCAGTCGCCCGCCAGCTATACATAGGGCAGCGACGCGCCCGTTTCACATTTTCCCAGGAGAAGCGCCGTTGGCCAACCACACAACACGCGCGCTTTGAGACAGCCGCACCACCGCGCACTGTAAAGCGACACCGTTCGAACAACACAAACTTATAAGGCCTCTTGGACGGTCTCATATACCTGTATTCATACAACTCCCCTTACATCACGAACAACCTCAGCAACACCACCCAACATGGCAGGCATGGTCGCTAAGTACGCCATGAAGAAGGCGTTGGGCAAGGAGATGGAAAAGTACAAGTCCAAAGACGTATCTGGACCCTACGTAAGCGAACCTTCTATCATTTCGACGTGCGCAAACTCATTGTACCCCAGGACCCCTACTACGCATTGCAGCCAGACCCAAAGAGGCCCCACAAGATGAAGAAAGTCAAAAAGGACATTCCCAGCTACATTCCCGAGAATGATTGCGTTGTCCTAGCCAAAGCCCGCAAGTCCGCATACAGGCTCGACTACGCTCTCTTTACCTTTATGGGAATCCGATTTGGCTGGTCTTCTGTCATTGGCCTCGCCCCAGCAGTGGGTGACGCCGCAGGTTCCGCCTTGGCCTTGAACCTGGTTCGCAACATGTGCAAAGTGGAAGGCGGACTGCCAGCCAGCGTTCTTATCATGATGCTGTTCAATGTCGCCTTTGACTTCCTCATCGGTCTTGTTCCCTTCATCGGCGATCTTGCCGACGCGGCTGTCAAAGCCAACGGCAAGAACGTGCGCCTTCTCGAAGAGCATCTCGACAAGCTCTATAAGCCCAAGGAGCTCGCAGACAGAGATTCCAAGCTCCCCAGAGAACGACGACCGCGCCCTGCTTCTGTCTACGTCGACTTTGACGATGAGATTGATGAGCGACGCAACACCTTTGAGGATGACCATGACGATGTTCGCCACCCTCAACGTTCCTACGGTGGAGGGCGTGTTCACGACGAAGAAATGGGTGGACGGTACGACAATCAACCCCAAAGATCGCGCCGGGACGACAGGCCTAGTCGCAACAACACTAGGAGCAGCAGACGTTGATTAGTATTTCCTTATGTCTCTTTTCATAGCGTCCTTTCCTATTACAGCATGCCAGTCCTGTTGCTAGACCACTGCTGCATTTCATGCATTGTGCATTGCGCATTTGGCGTTGGTGGTCGCTCGTACTCTCTTTAAAACTATACCCTAAGTGCTGTTGCATGTACACAACAATATTATGTACTCTTTGTAATATCTCTGATGTAAGACCCGGATTCCAATCCTCTTTTCGTTTGTTTATTAGGCTCTATCACGTTCACGTGTGGACCCAGGACGCTTCGTCCCTGCAACAGCGTGTGCCTGGATCTGATGGGCACCAATGGAATTCTTCCTCCATGTTGCACCCGCAATTATACTACCTAATCCACGACCACGACTGCTTGCTCGTCCAAGGTCCGTGTGCTTCCTTCTATCCGTTTTCACACAAACTCCTCGCGTGAGTGTCTGGCATATGCTCGCCATATAAATTCTAGTGATTTTCACTCAATTTACATGCTCATCTGCGCTCGCTTTCAACTCCCAGCAACAGTTGCAGTATACCTACTGCAAGTGCTTCAGAGCCCTCAAATTATCTCGGCATAGCGGCCTCTCTTCCCATTATGAAGCTCTTCATCGTCTTGTCGCTCGCCCTCAGCGCCATAGCCGCCGCCGTCGTTGCACCTCGGCAGCCCACATCGCCATCCCATATCGTCGCCCTCGGCATTGACAATTCCGACATACCCCTCTACTCAGACGCCGATCCAGTACCCACTGTCACTATCTCAGAATCAACTGCAACTACTGAAGACAACTACCAAAACGCCCGCGACAAAATCCCCTTAGTAACCGAGCACGTCACATCCACGTACAAACTAATGTAAGACATTTGCTAACTCCGCCCCTTTTCTCACAGAACCTCGCGCCCCGGCGATCCCGAACCCATCGTCATCCTCCCCTTTTACTTCCAAGTCATTGAGAACTGCCTCCCGGACAACAGCATCCAGGCCCGCGGTGTATACAAGAACATGGATTACGTGTGGGCCTACACTCTAGCCAAGGGCCGTACTGTCCAGGTTGACCACGGCATCGGGGGATACCCTTTTACGTTCCTGATCGAACCGTTCGATTACAAAAATAGTATCCTACACTTCACGTACGACAACGGCGATGATTTCCACTGCGATTGGAACGACAGCGAGTCGTGGAAGCGTTGTGGCGAGTGCAGGACGGGTTTGTGGAGTGCACCGAAGCTTGATTGTAATGGAGGCGGAGAGAAGACTAGGGTAAGTGGTCCCTTTTTCTTGGATGTGCCGCGTCTTGGAACTTGGTTTTGCTAATTGTGGCGTGATTGTAGAAGAAGATTATGAATTGCTCGTTCATCATGGGGTGGAGAAGTAAGCTCACGGGACATCCCATCACTCCTCCTGAGGGGGCGGCCTGAGTTTATCGTTCTTTCGAACCGGGCAGAGAGCATGACAGCTGGGTTCTGGAGATTGCAGGAAGGGACGCGGCAGAGGTTTGCTAGAGCACTTCGTCACATGTGACGGTACGAAGGTGGCGGAAAGGACCAAAAACAATCAGTGACATGAGGAATCACGCTTCGTTCATGACACTGGTTTCCAACAAACAGATATCGAATTACAACATATTTATTAGCCAAGGGTATCAAACTATTCTGTTTACCCAAAAAATGGAGAGTCGTAATGGACATGCCGCCCTCATTACCCAAGTACCCGACCCAGGTCAGACGCCGATGCCCAATGCTTGACATTACTGATGCATTGCCTCCACACTCTCACGTCCGCAGCCTTTAATCGACGATAACGCCCTTAGCGCCAAACCTCTTATGGCCGTAGTCATTCTCATCTTCGTCACCGTCCCAGTGGACGGCCTTGCGCGCAGGTTTGTGAATGCGCACGCACCACAGGAAGTAGTCCTCTAGCGGTAGCAAATTCAAGAGCACCCTGTTGCCAGTCCATGCAAGTCCACAGACCATGGCGCCAGCTACGGCATCGAGAATGAAGTGGTTCGCGGTAGCAACAATGGCGACCAGGATGATAGCAGGGTATGCGACACCCAAGAAGATGCAGAGCATGCGGCGGGCCGATGGAAGACGCATACGCAGACCCATGGTGAGAGCAACGGTGCGGGATCGGTTGTGCTGAGGAGCAAGAGGAATCGACATGATGGTCAGGCCGATGAGAAGCGAGTACCCGAAATGGAGGGAAGGCATGGCAGCGTATTGGTTGCAGAATTTGTTTTGCGTCCACACGCTGCTTTCGCCCTCGGCGCCGTGAACAGTATCGACGAAACCGAAGCTACGCGCCTCCTTGCCTACGGAGCCGGGAACCTCGGGGTCTGAGAGCAGACGCGGCGGCATGCATGGCCAGAGGGTGAAAACGATGAATGCAATCAGATTGCAAGTGGCCATCGTTCTGCGCCTGGCAGCATACAGCATTGGTCCTGCAGGGCTGCCATCTGCCTCGCCCATCGGCTTGTTGTGGAGGGGAAGATCGATTCGGTTGCGCGTTGTGGTGTAGTAGAAGAGCCATACCAGGAACAGGATTGTGCCTGGAATATGGATGAAGGAGTATGTACGGTTCGTCCAGTGGAGGAGGAAGGGGTGCTTCAGGAACCACGCTTGAACGTCGAGTTCAAGGAAGATGTGCAGTTTCTGTTCGAGGTGGATGATTTGGAGGGCGTGGCGGCGAGCGACGTTAACAGTGCCTTCGACCATGGTTACTGCGGAGAATGCGCGACCTAGTTGGTACACCTGAAGAGAGTCAGCATCTCTGCAGAGAAGATGTATAGTACTCGCGCGTTCGCTTACCCAGTAGATAAGCGCCCAATACCAGGCCTCCACAAGGAAGGGAAACTTCTTCAGCAAGCGACTGAGGAAGTAATCCTGGAACCTCTTGGTATTCGGGCTCATGACCTCCTTCTTCATACCCAGGACTACCACCTCTCGTTTCCTCCATTTGGGTTCCTCGTCGACATTGGCGAGAAGCGACGCGCTCGACGACGGACTAGATCGACCGGAATCTGGGGAACTTGACCGTGGCGAGTTTTGGTATACTCTCCGCCGACCAATAAGGCGGTATTCGGTGTTTCGATTTACCCAGGTACCTCCGAAGAGCAGGGTGACTACCACGAGTGGTTCTATGAAGGCTCCTGCGCCCATGGTGGGGGACTACGCGCGAGGCGGCGGTATATAGGTGGTATAGGCGGTCGGGCGATGTTTGAGCAATAGTATGCTTCCCGGGGGTTCAACTCCAATACGATAACCCAGAGGAACTGGGTATATTTGTAGGGATGGCGGTAGTGTTTGGCTAGCCGGTCGATCCGGGAATCTATGCGCGGAGGTCCTGACGCAGCACTGTATCGTACCTTCTGCTTTGGCTTGCGAAAGGTAGAGGTGAGGAACTCGTGGGTGTTTCAAGAACAAAAATGTTAGCTATGACAAGCCCAGAAGTCTTCGCATCAAGGAACAGGCAAGAAGACTGGCCGATGCCGAGGACTACATCCTACACTAGAGGCAGGGCGCATGGCGCGTAGTGAAGTCAGCGGAACGCACGGCATGCGCAGAGTGACTAAACAGCCACAGCAGCCACGGACAGGGCAGCGGACGTTCGGACGAAGCTGCGCTGCCATGGCATTTGGTGCGGCGTGGCCCTGCTGGGTGCAGAAGGAGCCGGCCTTCCGATGTGACTGCTTGCTTAGTGTCGCGTGCTCGCACATCATTTGCTACATGTTGCGTCATTGACATTTCAGAGTTTTGACAGCAATGCTCGGTCCCAAGTACTTATCGCGCCCGCGGACGTCAAGAATGCGTCCAACAGCAAGATTCCGTCCCAGTGGTAATGCGCGCATCATGGGTGAGGATTGACGCCTTCGCGCGGCGGAGTCCTGTTGGTTGCGAAATATCGTGGTCGGTCTCACATGAACACGCGACTGTCGTCCATAGGCTTAGCTTCCGCCCAGTACCGGCACTAAGCCGCTTTGGTAGATGCGCATAATCTTCGATTTCGATCAAGATAATCTCCCGTAGTGGGTACGGAGTCTCGCGTCTTGCCGGTGCCGATACGCTTACGCGCGAGTACGAGGTACGAGAATGCATTGGCACTCATCGTTTCTAAACTGCACAATCTTCACCGCAGCTGCGTGGTGTATAGTCCACGGTCTCGACGAATCATCCACACCTAAGCATCCTGCCGCCTCCATCTGCCCCCGGATGCTCCGTACACTGTTGAAACAGTTTCTTTGTATAGCGTTCACGTATAGAACTCTACCGCCATCATGCTGCACGGCCTCGCTCAGCACACCTGCATCGTTCTTATAGGGTTCTCCCAAACTATAGCAGTGAATTAGACCTGGGCATCACCCAGGTCTCCTTGCGACTCACCTTGCGTCAGCATTGACCAGGAGTTTGCGGAAACCATATTGGAAAACATGAGCGCATGAAAAGACCCGCACAGAGAACATAGGCACCCAACACCCTTCGTAAAATGTACCATCCTTACATATCAACGAGAACCGGAGAATAGTGTCTACTAGCCCCTCGACATTTCAGCAACAACACCGGCCTACTAGAGAGGCCTAGGTACACTCCCAGCCCAGTTTGATCAGGCCACGGGGGAGTACTTTTGAACAGTCAATGTGGGTTCTCAAGTCAAAAGCAAATCAGTTCAAGTGCTGACAGAATTTCATTGTCTCACTCTCAGCTTCCACTACTCTTTACTCTTCCTTTTCCACGGCCCGATCTACTAAGAAAAGAGCGGCTCAGCAATCGGGCAACGTCCACTCATCGGTCTCCTGATCTCTCCGTTCCACCATCATCTAATCGCAGTAGTAGCCGAAGCTGAGATAATCCTCAAATCCATTGGGGTTCGAGAAGCAAGCCGCCACGCCAGTGTCGATCCTAAGGTTGCCGCCGTTGGTCTGCGACTGGTTGGGGCCGGTGTAAAGCGTAAGATGGCACCCAGGAGACGTGACCAACATCTGGATGGACCCGCGGGGTCCTTTGCGCATTGTTAGAGCATGATGCCACGTCAATGATGTCCGGAGCTTACCTGGGAAGTTTCCCTTCACCACAGCGGGGTTGAGGTCGTAGTTCTCTTCGAAACCTTGGCAGCCGGGATGGTCGAAGGAGTTGAAGCGGATTCGGCCATTGGCGGCTGCGAGGGGAAGGAGGGGAAGAAGGGCGTAGAGGAACTGCATTCTACTTATTGGTGCTGGTGTGAAGGGTGGTTGTGTTGAGGCTGGGTAGCTTGATGCTTGGTGTTGGAGGGGAGGAAGATGAGGTTTTATACCTGAGTGCTGTTTTCAGATCCAAGTCGGGATCTTCATGGTTCTTCTCACAGTGCAGCAGCATGCGTTAGCAATACGACACCATCTGATGATTACCTTGTTCGTGGTAGCTGGAAGCTGAGGACATTGTGCATCTTCAAGGACCGATGCGGTGTAACTTTCTAAAGTCGTCAAAGTAATCTGTTTCGCGTCGTACAACTTACTCATAGCAGCGATCTGAATACGGATGCTCTCCTTAGGTCAGCTCTATCCAGACGTAGGTCTTCCTGTTTGAGGATGATGGTATCGGTTGCTTGTTGCTGGATACCTCGTTTGGGGGAAATGGGGTGTACAGGTAATGAACTGCAGGAACTGATAAAAACTGCTTTCTTGGTCAGCTTCCTAGCTCGTCGTAGCAGGCTTACTGGTTGACGTAGTTAGTCATTCGCGGTCAACGTTGCGTGTAGATACACCAATCAGGCGTAGACCTGTATATTAAGCATGACATTAGCATTTACTGCTCCTGTCTTCATGTTGCACACAGTGCGCAAGATAGGAAACATTCTACGTTAGCATATCGTATTGAACTGCACGTAAGCGAGCGGCGCGTCCCATCGCCTTCGCTCGCCTCGCTGATCTCAACCCGCAATGGCTCAACACAGCGCTCAACGTCGAACATACGGTGTCAGATGTGACATTCTGATATTATTTAATTTAATGAGAGCCGGACTAGGGTGTAGTCCGTCTTGACCACCACTCTGAGACGAACGCTGGCCCACCAGAGACGCCCGAGTACCATGCAATGCATGGCGAACATGATGTACAGCGAATGTATCGGCTGCGATACGCAATGAAGCGACGAGTCTTTCCAATTTGCAAAAATGCCAAACACAAAAAGAGACCAGCGTTAGCTGTGGGTAGGAGACGCATGGTTACAATAATCCCGAGTTTCCTTGACGCCTCGCTGAACAGAACAAAATAGTAAGGGAAGGTATAGTGGTAACAGTATATGGACAGGCCAAATTGGCGGACAAAGGAAATGTGTGTAGTCATCAACGGTGATAACTGGTGGCGCTGATGGGACTCTCAGCACGCGACGCTGTTGAACGGTGCGGTCTCTTGGAGGTCCTCGACAAGGTCATCCACGTTGGGGAGGTAACGTCCCAGCATGTTCTGCTTCTCCTCTTGCGACCGATAGTGCTTTCTGGTCGCACCTCCGCCATCGTCGCCAGTCGCAGTGCTTCCCCGCCGCTCGAAAGCATTGGTCAGCTTGCTAGGACTCCGATGCGGGCCAGAACCTGGGATCTCGGGCATGAGGTAGAAGTATAGGAATTCCAGCAGCTTGACTTTGACGTTTTGTGTAGTCTCTTCGTCCTTGAACAGGCTGGTCACGGTGAGCAGGCCGTCCATATGCTCAAACACTCGGGTGTTCTGTGGTGTCGCAAGAAGCGCGGTGACTAGGACGAGGAGGGCTTGGGATTGGATGGCGGGGCAGTTGTAGGGGTCGAGCAGGTCGAGCAGAACGTTCATGTAAACTTCGCGACCGAAGATGATGCGCGATGGCGGGTGCAGCAGGAGAAGACCCTGGATGTTCGATAACGAGGAGAGGATGAGGATGTCGTTTTGGCCATCTATCGGTAGTTGGTTAGCTGGTGTTCGGCATTTTCTAGTCGGGCCTCTTACCCTTACTGCTTCCCATGCCCAGCAGTCGATCCAGACAGTCGGCTACCCGTGTTACAACTATAATTGTTAGTATATACTCGCATTGTTGGAAGTACCCAACTCACCATTCCACTCGAATCCCTCTTGCAGCCGAAAGAACTCGCGAAAGGCAAGATCGTCTGATAACTGCCCCAGCTTCTTCGGCGTTGGTTGTTGTTGATCTCCCAAATTGAGCGCAGAGGCGTTCCGTCGGTGACCCGGTGGTGAGTTTCGTGGCTTGCCGCTTGAAAGACATATTTGCGCCAACATGCCCTCGATCTGGCGCAACCCTTTGCGAATCTTCTGCGTATCCTTGGACGCTATGTTGTCGAATGCGAGGGAGAGTAGAGCCTCCATTGTGAAATTGATCTGAATTTACCGGTGCAAAAACAGTAGCGACGGCTCTATCAACCAGAGTTAATATATGCTGCGACTAAGGATGCAGTCCAGATGTTGTTGAGATCAAGCGTTGGAGGTGCAGAAGGCGGTAGGGGAAGGCGGGAGGGGGGGTTACATACATGCAGCTAAGAGGTCTAAAGTGCGGAGTAAGCAATATTCTACGCCTGTGTGGGCCGCAAGATTCAGGCTTGGACCTTCTTGAGCTGGCCGACAGTTGGCGTGGGAGAGCCTGGTGGCATCGATAAACACCCGCCGTTGCCATGGAAATCGCGACCCACCGGCGGCGGTTCGAGCCGTGCACTACTAGCCTGGCCAGGGAAGCACTACCACAACTCAACACCTCATCTTGCGCGACACCCTTACCTTGTCGACAACCGTTTACTACACCCTTGAATATGCCCATAGTTTCTGCTAGCAAAATGACAGCGGCATCGTGACGGGCAACGTGCGGTCAAAGCCACTGAGAACTCTGCACCGGCTTGGTCCCGCAGGTGCAACTACGTCATTCGCGACTCGCATTCCCAAGGCCACTACTCGCCATGCGTGGAATGCCTCGCACATCTGAATGAGAGTAAGGCTGTTGCCATGTCGCTCGCAAGGGGTGACGAATACGAGCATGCGTGAAATGACCGAATCACAGCCTTGCTTGTCACGATGTTTCTGTTCACCGGATCTTGGCAGCACCCCAACTATGCCCTTATGGCTGACCGCGGCCACTTCATCGCGAAGATCAGAGCTTCGCAGTACAAGCCTCCGACGCCAAAACTCTTTCCCGCAGTTTCATGCACACCTCCGCAAGAAACTGCCGTGGTGGCTTGCGTCCCGAAGTCTGTCAGAGACTCAGCCGCTCAGCCTTGTGCGCCAGGCACCATCTACCTTATAACTCGCGATGGCTCCAATGATTGAATTGTGGTGAACTTCCGACTACGGATTCGCGATTACACCCACCAAGCCACCCTTAACATCAACTTTTCGTTTCCCCATTATGGCAGTAAACTCATACTTTTGGACAAACGCGAACATGTTCATTGCCGTTATTCGTTTTGCCCTGTTCTCACCCGCGATAATTTACTGGGTCGCCGCGGCAGACCACCACGAGTTGATCAGGATTAATCCCGAACTTCACGACGGTATCTACGGCACGTCCATGCTAGCTGGCGAAAGGCTTGCGGACAAATGGGGCATAATCTTATGGATCTGGAACCTGGCCTGTTGGTGGCCTGCGCTGGTATGCTTCCCTCCACTGAACTTACCTTTCACGATTGTCGACACTACGATCACCGTCTTTCTGGCGATGGCTACAAACTACCAGGTTGGATACATACCTCTTAATCTGAAAGCTTGTCATGACAAAGCGGGCCTCGAATTGCAGCGACCCGCTGGCACGAATGAGAGCTTTTTTGCTGCTGCCGGAAGACTCAACGAGACAACGGCGAGTTCGACTGCCATGTGCTTGGAATTTGTGAAAGAGGCACAATATGGTGTTGCGCTAACGTAAGCCGTATATTCGTGGATAGATGGGTCTTGCTGACTACCACAGCTTTTTCTACGCCCTCGTGTCGTTCATCGGTGTCCTTGCGTTCCCCGGTGCTATTTTAGAGATTAGAAAGAACGACGATTCCATTCTCGACATGGTAAAAGAAATCCTTAAAATGCACCGGGGCTGCTTCGCTTGCATGTTCAAGTGGCCAGCGCTCTTGGTCTATGGCGTTTTGGTCTACACCCCGATTTTGTTCTTCCGTTATCTACCGATGGACTTCAAAGCCCCGGTGCGATCAGTCCGTCGGTACGTCACGAAGGCTACGATAGGGGCGGAGCAAAAGATCGAAATGATGTTGACGGAGCGCATAAAGCACGCGAGTAACAGCGGTGATACTGTTCTACCGTGTCAAGGTAGTGGTGGTACTCAAAACGAGCTTTCGCGATTTCTGGCTGTCTACGACATGTTGATCATGGTCGCCAAAGATCTGCACTACACCGATATCGCCAGCCTATCATCCGTCTCAAAATCAGTCCGCGAATCAGTCCTACCTTCGAACGATGTCTCAAGCCGAATTGGTATCTTCAGGCGCTACACGTGCGGCCCTGGCGAGAAGAACACTTGTTGGACCTGCACGAATCAGATATGTGACGGGTGTGAAGAGTATTCTTTTATGCCACATGCGCCTGCACTTCACCATCTCGAGAATTGCGTCCCATACTGCGCATCGTGCTACCATACACACATCGTTCGCAATTCTCGCAATCGTAGAAGTCGAGCATACGGAAACCCGACCTGCGACTGCGTAAAGCGCAATTCTATTCGACAACCAAGAGCGTTTTGGAGAGTTTTCAACAGACACGCGTACTACACGGAGATGAGTCTATCTCAGACTACTACGCGACTCTGTCGTATTTGCAGTCAGTTGGACAGTACAGAGCTCGCCGTGCGCAAGGCAGAAAGCGCGATGAGGTTGCTGAAGAAGGGATTGAAAAGCGATGGAGGAAGGTGGAAAACGTGCGCAGTCTTGGGATGTGGTAGAAGCCTTGGGAGTGGTCCCAGATACTGGGTATGTAAGCACTACAATTGCGGCAAAGAGTGCAAAAGTACTATTCACCCAGCATGGGGCAGCAAGACAGATGCCGGCGTTACTGGAGAGGCCATTGCCTAATGGATATACCTACGGTTATGCATCACTATATACTTCCGTCAATTATCTGTCGAAGTTTTTGTACAACATGGCGCAATGCTCTCTAACCTCGTTCAAAACAGGATACATGTCACAATACTAGGCATTCATTTGTGTGGGACATGTATTACATTATTGGTATAGTTCTATGACTGGACAATCAAATAGTACCACTATCTACAGCATCATCGCGGCAAAGACACCGGCTGCAAGAGCAGCAGCACCTCTACCAAGCTTGATAGCAGCACCAGTGTACTCAGCTGGGTCGCTGCTAGTGGGGCTGGGCATGCCCATGGTGCCATTGGGAGAAGTACCGTTGCCACCAACAATCTCAAAGTTCGCGCAAGTAATCCTCGTGGTGTTGCCAGTGTGCAAGACAAACGCCAATCCACCGAAGAATCCAGCACTGCCCTGCTCAACACTGAGGTACGGGTCGACAAAGCTAGTAGAGAAGCTTCCTTCCGTCATGATCTTGCCGCCGTGCTTGCCAGCCAAGTCACCAACCTGGCACGTCTCAGGCTGCGCGGAGTCGCACATGACGAGCTCACCGCGATTCGTGGGGTCCAAATGACCCATAGTTGCTGTGCAGTTTCCGTCGGAGGGGACGGGCATGGCGTGGATGTGCCATGCAAATGGGCCGAATTGCGCTTGGTCGGGCAGGTTGGTCAGGTCCACGGTGAAGTTGACACCACCTGCACCACCCACAGCTTGAATGGAACCAGAGATAGTGCTGCCAACGAAGGGGTTGTATTGCACCTCTGGCATGGTGGCGCGGTAGGTCGCAGAAGGTTGGTTGGAAGACGCTGTCGCAGTACCCTCGAGACCACCGGTCTCTCCTGGGAGGTAGCCAGGCGCAGGCGGGAGGGGAGAGACGATGGCTCCCTGGATTGTGTCGACGCCAGTGAATGGAGTGGCGGTTGGAGTGGCGGGAATGACACCAGACTTTGCGGTTGCGAGGACGACAGGTGCAGGAGCACCCTCTTGGACCTGCTCCTGGGCGTATGCCAGAGCGCCAAAGGCGAGAAGGGAGAAAGACTTGGACAGCATCTTGTAGTTTGGCGATTGGTGTCTGAGGAGCGAAGGTGTTGAAGATGCAGGTGCTTGACTGCAGGTGACAGAGACTACCCTTTCGTCTCTTATACCAATTCAATGATCAACACACGCCTCGTCAGGCATGCAAACAATACGTTAGCCCTCCTCCCAATAGACGCCCCTGAGCTTGTCACCAAGGTGACATCAGTAACTGTCATATCCTTCGCTTCCTCCACCAACAACACCCATCTCATGGACGCCTCCAGCCGAGCTAACACGGCTCATTCCTCCGCCGCAACAACAGAGCCATCATGCCCTCGCGTGCGCATTCCAGCCGCCTCGATGCATCCAACAAGCCCCATCTGTGCTGTGCCAACGGATAAATCGTGCCGTTAGCTGCTCGTCGCTTGCCTCGCGGGAATACGCAGCTATTGCCAGTCATGAGATTGGCGAAAGCTTGAAACGCAGCGGAGTCTGCAGCGAAACCTTGCAAACAAGCCTTTTACAGGCCAGCGAACGTTCGGAAATTCGCCCGGTCCGCATTAGCGCTGTCTGGGGTGCATTGCAGGACCGTGCCTGACATCAGCATGTGGAGAGACTGGCAGAGATGGTCGTCTTGGTCCGAGATGGCGGGTCGTCGAGCGTGATGTCAAGACTCGATGGATGCGGGGTGCTAAGCGAAGTATGACAACGCCGCGCGCTAGGAGTCAATACTGTCGCTCCGCGGTGACTAGAATGGAGGTGACGCGTAGATGTAGAAGAAAGGGCAATTAGACGTTTTGGCGAGATGAGGTGTGCCTGCTTCCTTGGTTTGTTGGCCGTGTCGCAGCGGCATGTCAGGGCGTGCGGCCTGCGACTTAGCATGGAGAAGCGGCGCAACGGGTACCTTACTTCGAGTGTATACCGTGTATTTGAGGAGAAATGCAAGCTGTCGGTGGCTTGTTCGATGATATCCGGCTGATTGGACACGACACTTCTGGGATAACACGATCGCGCCTTCCTGGAGATTCATTAACGATAACCTGCTACCTCATCATTCTGGGAGCAGAATGGAGCAATACTTCAGACGAAGTATACTGCAAGCAATCCGAAACTGGTTATGAAAGTTAGTGACGAATAGAGATGATCGTGGAGTTCGTTGGGAATGCGGCCCTCTTGGAGCACGATTGTCAGCGGCAATGAGCAACTATCTCAGACGCACAAAGACTCCAGAGCTCGTGAGCCGGGCTTGATGAGCTTTGTGTTCTAGGTTGCCTGTTTGGCGACGCGAGGGGCCAGAAACATCTTATAGTCGTAGTACAGATGTGTGTACATCATAACCTGCTCAAAAGGGCTCTTCGCCTCATTAGTGCCTTCTAGAGGACTTACAGCAGCGACAAACATGTGATGCTAGATTTGTGCTACTCAAATATGACTCGATATCCAATGCTGTAGGTCAATAAGAGGTTGGTGAGACTAGAAAAGCAGAGCGTAATGTTGTTTCCGACTCGCGACTTGCGACGACTGGAGGGATTTCAAATCGCGCGAGCTGTACAAGCCCGATCCGCGGAGCCCGGTTCGACATGTACGTCTCGCGCTGATGATGCAAGATTTGAGGATCTTATGAAGAAGGATATAAAGACTGTTCATGTTCATTGTCGAGACCGACGTGGCGTTGCAACTGATGCGCGTAAAACCCACCTCGCCTTAGCGTGTCGTGGTCGCGGCTTCCCTCCTCGACACCTCTGATCCCCAACCAGGACATTATCACCAACGCTCTGTGGTGACCTCTGTCAGAGCATCTATCAAGGTTGTGCCGCTCGCAACTTGCTTGATCTCAATGATGCCAATGCGATGCGATACGCCCCTCCACCGATGGATTTGCGATCCCGACAGCGGCACTGCCCCCTGTCGCGAACCTTCATCGCCGGATGGAGCTATGACCACCACAACGGGGTCCTGCGAGTACGAGCAACCCCAGGTACCATGAGCATTCGCTGTTTCGCTCCGTATACAGCTTAAAGGTATTTCTCATTTGCTCTGCAAATGGTTCCTGAAAGCGAGTCTCCTCATACCGGAAGGTCAGTCCACCTGGGTACCATTGGCGGAGCAATACGCCGCAGGCCTAGCAAGCAATGAATCTCGATTGAAGGCCACCGACCAATCCAGAAAGATAGAGGCATTGAAGCACGCAATCTGCATCCAATGCAGTATACATGCTTCGTGAGCATCGTAGTAACAAGTGGGGTTGCACATTATGACGGCGGGGTTGAGCAGGTATGAGGTAAGACGCTTGTCAGGGAAGAACGTGCGACGCCTCAAGGGCTTTCAGCTCGAACGACATCTATTCGCTGCTTGAACTGCTTGATACAACAGAAGAAACGGCGTTCTCATCATTTTTAACAACATGTCCGACTACAGCGATTATTGTTGCAAAAGGCGAACGATTCAACAACTCCCAGTCCCCGCTCGGAGGGGTCACAATGCCATACTCAACTCCAACTACCTAGACGATATCGTTGATGCGATTGGTACTTGGAGCTGCCAGCGCATTCTCATAGTGCACTCGAAGGCGCTTCATGAGAACACGGATATCGTCGAGATGCTGAAAGAAAAATTGGGCTCGTTTGTTGTAGGGACAAAGTCGGGGGTGGGTGATCACTCTCCATACGAAGACGTACTGGAGATCGCAAGACTATTCCACGAAAAGAACGCGGACTGTCTGATCAGTATAGGAAGTAGCAGCTACTCGGATGCAAGCAAGATCGCTCGCTTGATGCTTGCGAATCTCGCTCCAGATTACCTCACGGTAGAGGCCATGGAATCCTTGGTAGACCAAGAGAAGGGAAGTGCAGTTGATCTGAAGGACCCAACGACAAAACTCATCCTCGTACCGACGAGTCTATCCGCAAGCGAGTGGAACAACAACTCATCTGCAACGAACCCCAAAACAAAAAAGAAGCAGCATTTCGCAAGTGAGCGTGCAGCACCAGACCTCATCCTTCTGGATCCTGAAGTAGCGTCCACATCGCCTCGGAAGTTGTGGGTGTCGAGCGGGATGCGCGCGATAGATAATTGCGTCGAAACGGTATGTACTACCCTTGGAGTTTCGCTAGGTAGAGACTGTATTGACACTGTGTCATCAACAGATGCTCAACGATGAGTGCACCAGAGACCTCTTTCTCATCCCTTCCATATTTAATGGGCGGATTCAGTCATCGTGTATCTCGTGTGTGTTGCGGGAGTCGTGAGTGGCTCGTCGTTGATGGGTCATCGCGGTACCATGGGATGGGATGGGATGAGTGCACCAGAGAAGTTTTCCACTATATGGAAGATGCGCTTGCAGTCCTACTGAAAGGGCTGAGAAACTACAAAACCGGCGAAAGTGACAGCATCCGATCCGAGCTGCTCGATGGAATCGGAAATTGTCAGATAGGGTCCAGGAACGCGATGATGGGTCTCATCCTGTGGAGCATTCCGATGGGACTTTCGCACGCCATTGGACATCAGCTGGGAAGCGTATGCGACGTTGTGCACGGCGTCACGTCTTGCCGAGTACGCTGAATGAAGTGGGTGTTACGGAGCAAGAGGACATTGAGAAAGTAGCGGAGCGCACCATGACTGACGTGTTCGGAGCGATGGAAGGTATCGGCGGGAAGGAGGATGTGCTGGCTATCTTGGCTTCAGCAAAAGCCCAAGGCACCGAGGATGGAGGGCTGGAAGGAGGCGCACCGATGTAGAACACGATCTAAGTAGAACAATCGTAATACTCGCTTATACCAGCTGCGCTCTCGACTTGCCCTTGGGGAAATAATGCAACCGCAAGTCACCCATCGGAAGCTTCTCAGACTTTGCTACATCTTCCATAATGACAGTCGCCAGCTCAGTAGGAAGCTGGCCAACGCCCCATCGCCTCATAGTCCTCCAAATCTCGTATATCCTGCTGCTTTCGTGCAGGAACTTTGTGGATC